CCAAAGGGTGAACATTTTGTGGTAGAAGTTGATGTAGGTGGCCGAAAAGTGGGCGCCTTCGCAGACATAGGCTCTACGCGAAATTTCATGAGTCGTGCTTGTGTGGATAGTCTGCGCTTAGGGGACCAAGTGCAGCGGCTTAGCAGAACTGTAGCTTCTACGCTGGCCAACAAGCACCAAATGTTGGTAAAAGACTTTGTCAAGGACATAGTCTGCACCTTCGCCTATGGAGGAGGGGAAGTGAGTCATAAAATATCCTTCCTGGTTGGCGACGAACTGCCATTTGATATGCTCCTAGGTATGTACTACCTCAAGGTCGCGCAACTGCAGTTTGATTGGGATAGAAAGGTATTGATTCACAAATTGCCCAACGGTAGATCTGTTAGATTGCAAAAGTTCAAAGCTAGCAGTCTAATAGAAAACTACGGGTGCATGTGTGCGAGCAGGGCATGTATCTAGTATTTGTCTTTGAGAAAGGGGAGGCCGTTAAAACACCCCCAGAGATAGAATCAGTCGTCACACAATATTCAGACCTTTTTTAGGAGCCCACAGGCGTGGTGGAAAGGAAGGTTGTCCATGCACTAGAGAATGTCCCAGGTAGCAAGGTGCCTAGAGGACGAATCTATAGGATGTCTCATGCGGAGTTAGATAAGCTTCGCCGCCAGCTCAAGGAGCTCACAGAGAAGGGATGGATTCGGCCTAGTACCTCCCCTTGTGGCGCTCCAGTCCTATTCGTACCGAAGAAGGGAGGTACCTTGAGGATGTGCATTGACTATAGGGGCCTCAATGCCATCACTGTTAAGAACGCGGAGCCTCTACCCCGCATCGACGACCTCTTGGATAGAGTGCAGGGATGCCGGTACTTCACCAAGATAGATTTGAAGTCCGGATACCATCAAATTAGGCCTAAGGATCAGCACAAAACCACATTTCAGACCAGGTACGGTCTGTACGAGTTTGTGGTGATGCCCTTTGGACTATGCAATGCACCTGGTACGTTCCATACCTGGTCTGTACGAGTTTGTGGTGATGCCCTTTGGACTATGCAATGCACCTGGTACGTTCCAACACTCGATGAACAGGATTTTTCACGACTACTTAGACAAGTTTATCGTCGTGTACCTCGACGATATTCTCATCTTTAGTAGGACTGTAGAGGAGCACGCTGAGCACTTGAAAACAGTGCTAGGTCTCCTAAGACAGCACCAATACAAGGTTAACTTGGAGAAATGCGAGTTTGGTCGCACCAAGGTCTTGTACTTGGGTCATGAAATCTCAGCAGATGGATTGAGGCCGGATGATGCTAAGGTGGCCAGCATACGTGACTGGCCCAGACCTCAGAGTGTTAATGAGGTCAGATCGTTTTTGGGGATGATGGGCTACTATCGTCTGTTTGTGAAGAACTATAGTACTATAGCTTCCCCATTGACAGATCTTACTCGACTGGACACCCCTTGGGAGTGGACTGAAGAGTGTGAGGCAGCCTTCAGAAAACTGAAGGATGCCCTGACACACTATGAAGTTCTTAAACTTCCTGATCCTGATAAGGCATTTGTCGTGACCGCAGACGCCAGCCAATATGGCATAGACGCGGTCCTTGCGCAAAAGGAGAGGCCCAAGTTGAGACCTATCGAGTACATGAGCAAAAAGATGCCATCTCAGAAACTAGCTAAGTCCACTTATGAGCGTGAGCCCTATGCCCTGTACAGAGCGCAAGTACACTGGAGACACTATCTCCTTGGCATATTTTTCTACGTGAGATCTGACCATGAGACCTTGCACTGGATTAAGACACAGCCAGTACTCTCTGACGCATTGAAGCAATGGATTCAAGTGATAGACGTGTATGACTATCAACTTGATCCAATCAAGGGAGAGTACAACAAAGTGGCTGATGTGTTATCTCGCCGAGCGGATTATCTGGGCGCACTAGCGACTGAGTTTGGCATATCTAGCGATTTGACTCGATCATTGGTGGACGCCTATCAGCAAGATCCAGTTATGTCTGATATCATCCGTAGATTCAAGGCAAAGGATAAAAAAACTTTGGACAAATTTACGATGGTAGACGGCTTGCTGTTTCTTGAAAAGGCAGGGAATAAAAGACCGTGTTCCCAGTAGCGAGTCTTTGCGTAGTTTATTTTTAGGAGAATGCCATGATGCAACTGGTCATTATGGATACAAGAAGACATCAGGGAACTTAGTACAGATACTCTGGTGGCCCTCTATGATATTAGATGCAAAACACTATGTTGAAACCTGCCAGGTTTGTCAAAGGGACAAACCAAGGACTCAGGCACCGCTTGGGCTGATCAAGCCCTTGTCGATTCCTGAAGGACCAGGTCAGAGTGTGTCTATGGATTTTATGGACACCCTTGTGACCAGCAGATCTGGAAAGAGACACATCTTCGTTATAGTGGATCATTTTTCTAAGTTTGCCAGACTAATCGCTATGCCTGAAAGTGGTAAAACTGACCACGTCATCAAACTGTTTATGGATAATTGGGTACGTGATTTCGGTTTGCCTACATCTATCGTTAGTGATAGGGATGTGAGATTCATAAGTGAACTGTGGCAGTCAACCGCTGAACAGATGGGCACAAAACTCCAAATGACCTCAGGGAATCACCCTGAGTCAAATGGCGGCAGAACAGATGAACTGAGTAGTATAGCACCTGCTTAGACATTATATTAAGCCAAGTCAGGATGACTGGGACGAGAAGTTACCACTCGTCGCCAGCCTGCACAACAATGTTGTGCATAGTGCTACCGGTATGACTCCCAATCAGTTACATCTTGGTTAGAAGCCCAAAACTGCACTTGACTTTCTGCTACCAGAAAGACAACCCACTGCAGCACCTGGCAGCATAGATTTTGTTGTCAAATATGAACAGATGTAAAAGGGCTTTTACCCCATTCAGACCCTGTTCGGCAAATGCAGCATAGAGGGGTCACTCGCCGGGGCCCAACTCGTGAAAGCAGATCAAAGGACATGTTCTTTGGGTCAAGAGTCACATCCTAGCTAAACAAAAGCCAATGTCAAAGGTCACAGTTGTGCCCCTGAACGAACAGTTGCAATATCTAGA